AATAATAATAATAATAATAACAATAATAACAATAATAACAATAATAACAATAATAACAACAATAACACCAACAACACCAACAACACCAACAACAACAACAACCAACAACAACAACAACAACAACAACAACAACAACAACAACAACAACAACAACAACAACAACAACAACAACAACAACAACAACAACAACAACAACAACAACAACAACAACAACAACAACAACAACAACAACAACAACAACAACAACAACAACAACAACAACAACAACAACAACAACAACAACAACAACAACAACAACAACAACAACAACAACAACAACAACAACAACAACAACAACAACAACAACAACAACAACAACAACAACAACAACAACAACAACAACAACAACAACAACAACAACAACAACAACAACAACAACAACAACAACAACAACAACAACAACAACAACAACAACAACAACAACAACAACAACAACAACAACAACAACAACAACAACAACAACTTCTGCAAATTACACAAATTACATTCAACGACCTTGTTTGCAAATTACACAAGTCTTCAAGTCTTTGTATGGCCTCAAGCAAGCCAGTAGGCAATGGAATCAAAAGTTAACTTCTGCCTTAACTCATATTGGGTATCATCATAGTGCAGCAGATTACTCTCTTTTCTTAAAACAATCTGGATCCAACATTACTTTCCTACTCATCTATGTAGATGATATCATCATAGCTGGCAATGGCCTCAATGAGATTACACATGTTAAGGCATATCTGAACTCTCAGTTTCATATTAAAGATCTTGGAAATCTCAAATACTTCCTTGGCTTAGAAGTTGCACGCTCAAAGAAAGGACTGGTCATCAATCAAAGAAAATATTGTCTATAACTTATAGATGAATTTGGACTCACAGGTTGTAAACCTGTATCAACACCCCTTGATCCATCTCATAAACTCACACCTGATTCTGGCACACTCCTAGACAATCCTACATCCTTTCGTAGACTCATTGGAAGACTCATTTATCTTACCAACACCATACCTGACATATCCTTTGCAGTTCAGCACCTTAGTCAGTTTGTTTCTAATCCTAGAGATGAACATTTCACTGCAGCATTGAGAATTCTTAAATATCTGAAAGCATCTCCTGGTTTGGGCTTGTTCTATTCATCTTCCAATACATCTAATATTCAAGCTTTCTCAGATTCGGATTGGGCTACATGCTCAACCACACGGAAATCTATTACAGGTTTTTGTGTCTTTCTTGGGAATTCTCTTATATCATGGAAATCAAAGAAACAAAGCACTGTCTCACGATCATCTTCTGAAGCAGAATATAGAGCCTTAGCTTCTTTAAGCTGTGAACTTCAATGGCTTCAATTCCTTCTTAAAGATATGTGTACCAACATTACATTACCATTTTGTGTATACAGTGATAGCCAATCTGCCATTCAGCTAGCCAAAAATCCATCGTTTCATGAAAGGACGAAGCATGTCGAAGTGGACTGTCATTTTATAAGAATTAAAGTTGATGAAGGTTTAATCAAACTTTTCTTTGTTCCTTCAGAGAATCAGGTGGTAGATTCCTTTACCAAAGCTTTATACCCTGCTGCATTTCAACATAGCATCTCCAAGCATGGTCTTCATTCCAGTTACGATCCAGCTTGAGGGAGGCTATTAACATATGCATGCTACTTGAATATTTGAAATCATGCAAACACATACAAGCTATATGGAGAAGCACATAGTATAATATTTCCCATGTAAAGTTTGTTTCAGTTTGTTGGAGTAGTTACGTAGATATTCTGCTTTTCTATTTTTTATATAAACTCTGTAACTCTGAACACTTCTTCAATAATGAGATTATCATCTTCTTCCTTGCCTCTTCTTCAATCCGCTAATACTTACTCCCACTCTGCCACTACGGTATTTTGTATCTTTGTTCGTTTTCATTTTATATATACACTTTCTAGTTAATTTTATATAAAATATACATAATATATTGGTAATATTTTTGAAGTTGACGGGTCCCAGGATCCCGTGGGACCCTTACTAGATCCGCCTCTGACTCTAACGCCACATATAATATGATTGTTGTATCCCATTACTCTCCAATAGTCATCCATGTCTCACATCCATCTACTGCTAATGGCACATATACACAGATTGCAGGCTATATCACAGTGATAGGCACAATAGACTCCCATGATCGATGCCTTTTTCAAGCAAGCTCATCGTTAATGGCGGAAGCTATCTTAATGGTGGGCGTTGGATGGCTGATTTGATGATTTTGTACGTGGTCGAGACTGATGCGGAGGAGCTCATGGAGTTTATCTCAAGCAAGCAGGAAGCTCGATGGTCAGGTAGTGTATTGAACGAAATGTGCGCACATGCTTTTAGGAAAGGTGTCTCATTTTCTCATACGTTAAGGCATGGTAACTGGACAACTCGCTTCTAAGCTGAGTTGGGGCCGGCCCATTTAGTTAGAAATGCTTTTTATATTGATTATTATGGTATTTATGATTTTCATTGTATTTAAATTGGGTCAGGTACGCCCCCCCCCCCCCCCATTTTGTTTAGTTTTTGTCATTGCGTTGTATTTGGAGAAGGAATTCTCGGAGAGGTTTTGGCCTAATCCCCCTCTTCGTGTGTATTTTTATTTTGCTTAATAAAACTTGGCAAATGTTCCCCGACATTTGCCCCCACCGACTCAGGTGGTTTGCCTTTCGTGACTAAAAAAAGACACTAAATATGATCAAAAGCAAAGAAAATGAAGTCACGAGACAAAAAGGATAAAAACCGACACTTTTGGTCAATCGCAGAACCCAAAAAACACCTGAAAGTTTGTATTTGCGGTTTGGGATCAAATCGGCATCAGACTAGCTAGGACCAAACAGGTGGCGGAGCTAGCCAAAGAGATGAATGGCCCTGAACCCACCACATGACTAGCATTGGACAGTTGGACCCACCCTGATGTGAAGAAGCTCGGTTAAAACTGGCGTTGCCCCCAAACCGGCACCCGGGTTGTCAAGATCAACAAAACAAAAACAAGACGTGCGGAAGAGATTTTGATGAGAAATGATGGATTTCATGATGGTAGCTCGGAAATCTCATCTTCTTATGGAGGATCGTGAATAGATTGTCCAAAATCATATCCTACCCTATTTAAACCCTCCAGTCCATCACAAATAGAGCATTTAGTCTATTAGTCCCTTGTTAGTTTTTAAATTTGTTATTTCTTCATTATGGTGTTCTTGAGGTGCAAATTACTTATACCAAACTCTACCTAACGTTTAGGTGAATCTCGATGTCTTGATCATATTCATACATTCCAAAATAAAAGTTCTTATACTTTTCATCTATTCTATACTTTAATTCTCAAAATCCGAAATTTATAAAACAATGTTTCCCTATGCATTGACTCTGTATTTTACCGGTATTTACTACTACAATAAGCACTTGTAAACTTGCAAGTTTAACCTGATCAAATTGTTGATACCGTTGTTGGGGAAATGGCTTATTTTTATTAAGTTCAAACAAACCTAAATATTTTCTTTGCATTTCACTTGTTATTGTATTTAGTTATAACTTAGAAAAACTATGTATTTGCATACTCTGAAGAACTCAAGGATCTAAGAACTTTGCTACTATTGACCTTGAAGTAGAGACAATGTGCAAACACATCCTCAAAAACATGGGAATGACAAAGATGATGTTCACACTAATCGACAGGAAGATGGCCATCTTGCATGGTGTTAAGTGAGGCAGTTAGAGACTATGAATTGAGGGATGACTACTTCAATTATATGCCTCTAGAGTCTAGTCAAAAGCTCACTTCTAAAAATCAGACACTTTACCCCCACCCAAACTCCTAGTGCCCAGGTTCTAAATTTTAAGATAACTAGTAAAAAAACATCTAATCCTCAATACTGCCAATCAAGCTGGCCGAATAACTTTTGACTTTAGCTATGGGCATAGAAATGTGCACTGAAGGGTGAACATCTCCCCTCCAATGCATGCCATTTGGCATTACACTTTTTTCTTTCTTAAAATTATTATAACTTTTTTGTAAATAATCTAATTTTCAAAAATATATATCAGATTTAATAAATAATTTTTATTTTTCCAATGGTATGCATATCGCATATAAAAAATTGAAAAAAAAGGGAGAATTACAAAATAAGCCCTCAAACTTGCATAAAAAGTGCAAATCACCCCTTATATTGGAGGCTTTGTCCGGTCGTCGCCATTTGGGGCAGTTCCCGGTGGAATTTTTTGATAAAATTTTTTGAGCATCTTATTCATTAAGTCTAGTTTACTCATACCAAATTTCAGCTAAAAATTCAACCGGGAAGGCAGTCAAATGATTTTCTGAAATATACTTTGTTGTTTAACTACGCAGTTATCTTCAAAAATTCATTTGACTGCCTTCCCGATTGAATTTTTAGTTGATATTTGGTATGAGTAAACTAGATTTAATGAATAAGATGCTCAAAAATCTTCATCAACAAATTCCAACGGGAACCGCCCTAAAATGGCGACGGCCGAAGAGATCCTCCTATATAAGAGGTGATTTGCACTTTTTATGTAACTTCAAGAGCTTATTTAGTAGTTCTCCCAAAAAAAAAATCTTTTTTTGTTAAAACTTTTTTAGCCGGTTTTTGTTTTACATTTTACATATACAATATTGGTATCATATGAAAGATCATAAAAAATTAAAAAAAAATTGATGTTTTTTTGACAAAATTGAACCAATAATGAAAAAATTATAACAATTGCAAAATGTAAAATAATTATCATGCCATGTGGCAGCCCAATAGGGTGGGGGTGATGTTCACCCTTTTGTGAACAAAATTGTTCTCCTTAATAGTTCAAAATATTTTGGAGTTGACAACCATTACTGTCAATCATTCTCTTGAATGGAGGGTCAGTCCGATATTCCCCCAACCTTTTCCCTGACTTTTTCTGTCTCTTCTCTACGAGTACATTATGAAAACGAACAAAGAGCTGAAAAGAAATCAGATTGAACCAACTAATTCTGCACTGATTTTCAACAAGCAAAGCAATTTAAAGTACATAATAATGCAAGAGTTGATTATTAATTTAGAGGGCTACTCTGCTAAGGTTCATGGCTTTAGCACAAGTGACATTTATGGAGTTCTAGGTTTGTATACAGCTAGAGGCACAAAGAACCCAAAAATGAAGCATTGTTCTCTGGGTGCAACAAAATACAAGCAGGGCAGCATAGCATGGATCAGTACCACCGGTTTAGTTGTGTCTGAACTCGTTATTATAAAGCATTGACTGGTAATATCCTTTAATACATTACCAGCCCATGTAAGAATTAATGTGCACTCTTCTTCGGGATGATCTTCAAGAGTTGGCGCTCATTTGAATTCTCAGGGATATTAGCCCCCCATATGTCTTGCGTAATTGCATCCAATATATCCTTGAGGAACTAATTATATACAAACAAAGTAGCCAATGAATGAACATTCCTCGATCATTTCATGTTAGGAGAACCAGGATCCTGATCAGTAGCAATACTGTTGAATCTCCCACTACCCCTTCGATCTTTAAAACTGCTGTGTCTAATTGGCCTGGGAAGAAACAAAGAGTTGAGCATTTTCTCTAGAGTTTGAACGGTGTATCTTGCATATTTACTGGCACTTCCATCCTGTTGTTCAACCAATGGCCCATAGTTCTGCATGTAGCTCCGGTAAACCGGAACGATTGCCTGAACTGTCCGTTGGCAAGTCTTCTGACGTAAGTCTTTGTCAAGAATGACCCAGCTCGATTGCCTCTGATACATCTCATCAAAAGCTTCATTGAAAGCTTTGAGTCTTTGCTTGACGAGATCACGGGCAGTGGCACGCCCGCCTGAGAATAAAATCAGACCTTCCCGGCTTAAGAGGCCAGGAAGCTTTGACCAGCTCTCTTTCAAGAACGAGTCAGAATAAATGTCCGTGTAATGTTCGTGCTTTTGCAACCATATATCTCCCAGTAGAGCCCCAAGCTTGGTTCCTTTCAAATGTATGTACAAGTGCCAATGATTATTCATCAAGAAAAAGTATGACAAAACGTGATCGTGGTAGCCTTTTGACCATGTTTCCAAATTAACCTCAACTGATTTCATAATATTCAGCAACTCATCGACAAGAAGCTGTTCTTGAAATTTTTCATGCTTCCAGCTTCTCTCAATGGCAAGTGCTTGTGCGAGGATTTGCTTATAGTCATCCCCAAGCAACTTATTCGAATAGTCAGTGATGAAGATAACAAGTTTGGGAACACTCCCATCCAATGGAGGGGGCGTTTGCCTCTGAAGTTCAACTTGAAGCAAAAGTTCCCAAAAGATCTCACATGAACCCTCGATGACCCTCTTGATGAGATCTCTCGTGAGGTTTTGGATTTCGGCACACGCTGCACCGCCAAACAGCCTATTAAAATCCAATCTAACCTTGTTTAATGAAGAGAATATATCCAACAACTTCAGCAGCTTGATTGGATCCTTCTTACTCTCTGTAACAGTTTTCCCAAACTGAAGGAAGGCCAAAATCCCCGCCTGAGCTGCTATCTTAGCGAAACAGCTCATCCAAACATTCAGACCTAACCTCTCATCAAAAACATCATTACATAGTTTATATTCAGCCTCAAAGAGATGTTTAACTGCAAACTCTAAATGCCGCCCCCACCTAGCTATATGGCTTTCTATGCTCAGCACGTCGTTGAACTCAGAAACAGATATCTCAAGGTAATCCAAGTTAAGTGCCTGAAAATTTAGAGTTTGAAAGAATCAAATTATTTTGACTCAGTTTGTTATTCAAATACAAATATAATTATATACATACATACATGAACATTCACACACACACACACACACATATATAGAGTAATGATCACCTCAGGTAGTTCTGACGGGAAGCCCTGTCCAAACTTCCCCATCAGAGGGCCTTCCCGGTGGAATTTTTTGATGAAATATTTTGAGCATGTTCATCATGAAGTCTAATTTATGCCCACCAAATTTCTGCTTAAAATTCAATTGGGAAGGTAGTTAACTAAATTATTGGAAATCACTGTGCCAAAATGTACACGAAAAACGCAGTGTGTTTCAATAATTTCGTTAAATGACTTCTCGGTTGAATTTTAAGCTGAAATTTGGTGGGAATAAACTAGAATTGATGAAGAACATGCTCAAAAAAATTCATCAAAAAAATCCACCGGGAAGGCCCCCTGATAGTCAAGTTAGGACCGGGCTTCCCAATACTCCGTATAAAATAAATGAATTAACATTATTTTATAATAATGTATTCATGTGCATTTCGTGTTACATGTGACATATTTCATATTCATTTAAAGTGAATAACATCTAAAACATTAATACCATTTTAGACTAAAGTTACATTTTGCCCTTTTAATGTCATTGTAGGGCTAGAATCAAGTTTTATTGATACTTGATTATCTGTAACATACTATCTGCCGGAGTAACTTTTATCGAACTACGATTTTCAATTGAGTTGAATTTTTTTGTGACATTACAATGACTGAAATTGATTATCTAGTAATTTAAATATGATCAGAGGTGCAATGGATGTAATTTTTATTCAGCAATATTGTCAAGCTTGAATTTAGCTTTCAATTGACATACAAAAAGCCCAAATAAATAATCTTCAAATTAAATTGATTAAATGCAAAACTAAATGCACTTATTGTAAAAAGAGCTCAAATATATAATACTTCGTACTAAACTTAAATATGATAAAATCAAACACTTTGTGGATGTATATGCAATGAGCATAATTAATTTGAGATATATAATTTGGTCTTGTAATTAAAAATATTAATTTGCTACGTCTTTTGACTACAATTGTAGCAAATACTCCTAATTTCTTTTCCATTTCATATGAAAATTTTCCACCAAAATTTGACATAATGGAGACTACTGATTTCAAGGTACCGCAATCGTATAACAAGTGTTTTTATCCAATCACAAGTAATGACTCATATTTTGGGAATTTTAAACCGTAATTCCTGTTTTTCACTTTAACTGTGCTTTACTCTAGATAAATTCCTTAAAAGTTAGTTTCTGTGTCCGTTCTGCAAGATAGATTCATATCAAACGAAGAAAAAAAATCTATTAGAAATTACAAATCATAATAAAATATTACACACAATAATGTGAAACCCGGCCTAAAATATAACATTTGTTAATTCATCATGTGTACAAATAAGTGAATAATGGTTCTGTCTGAAGTTGTATCGAATCACACGTAAATTGTTACAAAATCATTTACCAGATCTGAAGTGCCCCGCTGTCGGAATACATCGTCCAATAATGAAGGACTCTGTAACCTTCTGGATTCTCTCCTCTAGCTTTAGTTTCAGCAGTGTTTCTAGTGCTTTAGAAGCACTAGTGTTTCTAGTGCTTTGCAATGGGTATATACAAGTTAGTTAACGGAAGAGAGCTGAGGTTTTGACGGAGTATGGGTATCTTAGTCAGTGTGAAAAGTGGAGTACAATTTTTTAATAACAATGCACAATCTCTTATGCTCACAATGTGTTGACATAAATGAAGGGTACAAACCTTTGTTCACAAATATAATGTTTATATATATATATATATATATATGAGAAAACTTCATGTCCAGCCGGCCTGACGGGAACCGCCGTCCGGCCGAGGGCATTTCGGGCACTTTCCGGTGAAATTTTTTGATGAAATTTTTTGAGCATGTTCTTCATGAAGTCTAGTTTATCCATACCAAATTTCAGCTAAAAATTCAATCGGGAAGGCACTCAAATAATTTCTTGAAGTTAACTGGGCAGTTCATACATATAGAATTGCCCAGTTAACTTCAAGAAATTATTTGAGTGCCTTCCCGATTGAATTTTTAGCTGAAATTTGGTATGGATAAACTAGACTTCATGAAGAACATGCTCAAAAAAATTTCATCAAAAAATTCCACCGGGAAGTGCCCGAAATGCCCTCGGCCGGACGGAGAATCCCGTCAGGCCGGCTGGACAAGAACGGGACTCATATATGTGTATATATATATATATATATATATATATATATATGAGAAAACTTCATGTCCAGCCGGCCTGACGGGAACCTACAAACTATCAAAAACGGTGCATCTTTACATTATTTGTACTGCATATTGAAGTTCAAAGTGTTGCATATTATTTGTACTGCATATTAAAGTTCAAAGTTTTGCATATTGTTTTTATTGCATATTGAAATTCACAGTGTGCATCTTTACATTATTTGTACTGCATATTGAAGTTCAATGTGTTGCATATTATTGAGTTAGTAAGTTAGTATTTTAAGCATGGTTAGTATGTGATCTCTTATCTACATATATATATATATATACATACATATATATATATGTATATATATATATAAAATTTGAGTACTTTTCAAACATGAAGAAAAATGTTGGTCTATTCAGATCGAATAATATTTAAAATTTCTACTACATGAGAGGTTCTCGTATGAACCCTCCCCCACCCACACACTAATAATCCGTAAGGATTTTAAATGTGAATATTCAAATCAAATACTGTTATGTTCGAATATTAAGCAAACACAAATGCAATTATCATCTAGTATAATCGAATTTAAAATACAGCCCTACCTGCAAACTTGCCCGGACATTTGAACTACGGACCTCGACGTACATGGAAATGCAGTTTTCAAGCCTGTGATTGGCAATCAAACGGACAAGAATAGCCTGAAGTCTCTGGATGACATAAACTGGAAGAGGGGAGGGAGCTATACAAGCTTGTTCTCCTGGCAATGTAGGATCTGACATTGGCAACGGAACACTATTTTCCGTCAAAAGCCGCCTGAACTCATTCTCTAATTTGTCAAGAGCAATTTTAAGAAGCCCTCCATCAAGATGAGATTTATCCAATTTGCCGAGGCTGCTAAGTTCCTCTTTCAAATTGGAAGTGAATCGCCCATCTGCGACCCGGTGGTCCTCAAGGTACTCAACAATGTCAGCTAACCACTGAATGGCCATCTCGCAATTCTCTCCCAAGAATCTCAATGCCTCTTCAAGCCTCTTGAGCACTCCCAAGTACCCGGAGAGATCTGATTGGGGGTCATACAGTGACTTCTCAAGCCCGTGAATCGCATCAAACACCTTGAGGACGGCAGTGGCGGGGACCACAGCGCGGTTAATGTGGCCTGCAACCGCAGAAAGAGCGTCCTTAGGAGCCCTAATTGGGCGGATTGTGGCTTCCAAAGACGGTAAATGCTGAGTAATCTCTGTTAATCTAAGGCCGGCTTTCTGTATAGACAGCCCTAAGCCCTTTGATTTTTCCAAATTAGTGCGCAGAGATTTTGAAGCAGATATCAAATGGTCAGTGGCATGCTCCATCGCTATTGAACAAAACCCCTCAATTAGCAACCAAAGTCATCATGGCTTCATCTGCCCTGACAAAATCTTTAAAAAAGGGAAGCAGGGAAAAAAAGAAATTCAGTCCAGATTCTTAACGAAACGAACAAGGCAACAGTAATTCAGATAAAACCAAATACAGATTATCATTCAATCGAGAAACGGCAATGGGGGTAGTTGCTTACAGCCAGAAGAAACGGAAGCAGCGCGAGTTGAACAAAAAAAGTGATTCAGTCATGAGAGTTTGATGAGATAGAAAACCGAAAAACCCTAAACGCTGAATTGCATCGGTGAGGGGAAAGAGGAGTGACTTTTTGGAATGTGATGTGAATCTACGAGGTGATTCTGTCTTGTCCTTGTGAATCCAAAGCAGTTCAGACTCACTCCTTGCCGCCCACCAACGTTCAAAGAACCGGGCCCCGAATTGACCAGGCCAAATGAACCGGTGAAGGGTTAACTCAGTATTAGTGGTCCAAAATGTTAAATTTGGAGGTTTTGTATTCCTAATTATTTGTTGTGGTATGTTCAATGGAGGGTTAAAAGTGGGAAAGAGCCTAAATATAGAGGGGTATTGACAAGGAAAAAAGAAAAGAAATTTATGGAATGGGACAAAGTAGCAACTATTGCTTGGGGAGCGTATGATGTCATGATGATGGCATCCATGCGTAAATAAAACCTCATATTCTTTTAAAGATTTATAACATTTTTATTTGTGCTCCAAAGTTTTCAAAATACATATCAAAATTCATAAATTTTTATGATCTTTCATATCACACTAATATTATATATATGTATGTATGTATGTATGTAAAGTAAAAATATTAATTTTTTTATTTGTTAGAGTTATTTGGAGCCCGAAAAAACATGAAACACAAATTTTTAATCTATGGTGCATCCTAAAGTTTACATGAACTCGTTTTATTTTATTATTAAAATTGAAAACACTAAAAAAATGAAATTTATTTTTTAACATCAAAGTGTGTATTTACAAACAAAAAATTACTTATAAAAATTTAATAAACCGGCTTGTAAAATAATGTGTTGAGTGTGTTTTATTGACGGTGCTGGAATGCAGGGAAAAACAGTATTGACGGAGTCTAGACATAGTTTTATATCAACAAAGTCCATATTTAACCTTTTAGACTCTCTTAGCACTACACGTGGTCTAATGCACCAAACCTCTTGTGGTATGTAAATTCGGTGCATTAACTTCATACCAATTGTAACAGCTATCGCAGAAAGAGCTTCTCCCCGCAATGAATATTATTATTTAGAGAGATCTTCACGACAAGATGAAATATGAATATTTTATGGATTTCTTAGTCTGCTAAATTGAGAGATATTTTTAGAAGTATTGATAATGAAACTATTATACAACATTTTCAAAATATGAAAACTCGTGGGCTTGATTTACTGAGGTTGCAATAATGAACTATTTAATATTAATACTTCATCCATTCTTTTTTGTTGCAACGGTCTCTTTTTTGGGTGAAAGGTAAATATATTAAAAACACCCAAAAATAACATCTTACAGTGCATCAAAACTATCTAAGCCAGCAAGTAACAAACTAAAATAGTATCTAACCATTCAAATCTCTCACCCACTCACCCCGTTGCGGGAGATGGGCAGGAAGAGAGAACTTTATGGGAAAGTCCAAAACGACACGGAACAGGTCCTGAAAAGTATCACAAAAAGTCCACAAAAGTCAAACAGATATGTCCTCCTTCCAAACACATCCCAATGGGTCTGATTCAATAAAGTCTTATTACCCAAGTCCATGAGTTCCAGTAGCCCAGTAACTACCAAGCAGTGTCAAAGAAATCCAATAGCAAAATTCCAGCTAAATACCAGCCCACCGCCCCAGAACAAAACTACCAAAGACCATAGCAAAAGACAGTCCAACTTCTAGTCCAGGAGGCCAATAACCTAGCGAAGCCCACCAGAGTGACCCAACAGCAAACTAGGGAGACAAAACCCTACGCGACGCAAAGACGCCAGGGAAAAACTCTTCGATCTGGAAGAATAGGGCTATGTGAAAGTTCCTTACATTACCGATCTATAATTATCTTTGATTAATTAGTTCTAGTAGTAGCAGGCTTTTAATTGTTGAGAGAAACGGGCTTTTTAGCTGATAAGCCCACACGCGCCTACTGTCCTAATTGTAATAGGATGCTCTCTCCTATAAATATAGGCAAAGGTTCAAACATACCTAAGACTACACAATTTATTAAGCACATATTATTCTCGTAGAGCACCTCTAGTTTTATCTCTCAATAATTCATACGTGTACCATGCTATATTGTTATATCATTATGAATATACGGTATTGATTGTTGATGAATGTTATATTGTTATATCATTATGAATATACGGTATTGTTTGTTGATGAATTATTATTCTTCTACTCAATTTCTCCATATTATTGAATCTTAGTTAATCAACTGTTGATCTGGGATCCCTCCACAATTTGTATCAGAGCCACGGCGTAATACTGTTCGTTCGAATCTACGAAATTTTTTGGAATTAATTTGATCAAAAACACGAGTTTTGGTTGAATTAGTTTCGGACTAATTCTTGGAAAGTTACTGTTTTTGGAAAGGCTGCTGCTGGAAAAGAAGAGAAGAACACAAGAGTTGCCCTAATTGCTCGAGTTCCTATTATTTCGGTTACCCCAAATCTTTGATTTCAGTACTTCGTTTTTTAAGCCTCAGATTTTGAGCTTCAAACAATTGCGGGCGTACGAGATTTGAATCTCAAAGCAGGCCTGAATTCTGATCTCCAAGCCCACTCAAAATCTGATCAGTAGAACTCGCCCGAAATCTATACTTCGAAGCACTGTCGAAATCATCCACGAAATCAAGACCCGAAGTTAGCATCTGAGAAATTTAGCCAACCCGAGATCTTAATTTCAAAGTATCTTTTGAGATCCAACTTTTTGTTAACGCCCCAAAATCTTAATCGACGGCACCAAAATCTCTACACTGCCAGAACAGTTCTCGCCCAAAGATCACGAACAATCAATCTTTTACAGTGGAAGCTTACATTGTGGGCAGTGATTCAAGGCCTCCTATTCTGGGGAGATGTGAATTTACAGTTTGGAAAGCCAGATTTCTTTATTTTATTCAAAACAGGGATAATGGCAAAAAAATATCCTCAAATCTCTAAATGAAGGGCCAATTGAATACTGGGTTGACATTCCTGAGAATACAACCAATAATCCTCCTACACCACCCAATAGAACACTCAAGAATGAAGGCGAGTGCATTGAATCTAAAAAGCTCAGAGCTAAAGCTGATCTCCTTGCTGCTATTTATCTGCTTCAATCTATCCCCAATGAGCTCTTTATGCAAATTGACAGCATCACGGCTCCTAAAGATATGTGGGATGAGATTCACCAAATTATGCAGGGAACTGATGTTGGTATACAGACCAAACGAGTCCACACTCTCACTGCTTATGACTCGTTTTCTGCTAGAGCTGATCAAGAATTGGAGGACACCTACCAGCATTACCTAATGGTCCTGAATGAGATGAGGAAGATCAATATCCGCAAGACTAACATGGAAGTCAATCTACGCTTTCTACGATCTCTTAAACCAGAATGGAAGAAGATAGCTAAAAGGGTCAAGCAGAATAATGATTTGGAAGAGTTGGACATCCACAACGTCTATGATTGTCTAAGAGATTTTTCAGAGGATGTACTTGAAAAGGTGAAGACTACAAAAGAAAATAATATTGTTGATTTTCTTGCACTTCTGTCTACTGAAAGGAAGAAGAAAAATAAGGCACCTAAAATCATTGTCGAAGTTGATTCATCCGATGAAGAAAAGAACCAGTCTGATTCTGATCCTGAAATCAATGAGCTGAAGAAAGAGCCAGCATTGCTGACGAATCTTACAAAGAAGATGAATAAGAAGTTCGCAAGTTTTAGAACCCCACCATCATCCAACAAGCATAGAACCTCTTCATTCAATTATTCTGACAAAGCTAGTTGACCTTCTGATAAAGCTGTCAGTTGAGATCATCTAAAGTGTTTCAAATGCGGCAAGCCTGGTCACTTTGCTAAAGAGTGCAGATCTGCAAAGAAGAAAGATTTCAGTTACTACATGCAGAAGGCTCAACTTGCTAAGTAAAAGGAACAAGGAGTTGTTTTAATGCTTGAACATGACCACTGGCTGGAAGATTCTGAGGATAGCGAGCCAGAGAACATGGCACTGATGGCCCGCGTTACAAATATTGAAAGTGAAAGTGATTGCTCTGAGGAAGATATTGGTTCTCCGTCTGCAGAGAATGAGGTAACTAATCTACACTCTTTAATTACTAAGCAATGCACTAAAATAAATGAGCAAATTTATTCTGTGAAACAAGAGAGAAATTAAATAAAATAAATGAACTTGAAGATCGACTTGCTAATAATCAAAGTTGTATGAAAAGATAGATAAAACAGGAAGCACGTCTTGGCGTACGCTTTAAGAATTCACAAGATAAAGTCACTAGCTTAGAATCTGACGTAGCTAAACTTAAGAAAATCGTCCGTGGTTTAACTAAGGATTTGGATGAAAATAAACGAAAACGTTCTGAAGATGTTAGATGTTTTGAAGAACTTAATAAGAAACGTGGTCGTCTTTATTCCAAAATAAAGGAATCAGATGATATTCTTGTTAAGAGAGGCCAATCAGAACAAACTATTTTTCTGTTGAATAATAGACCAAAGGATACTGAATTTTATGACCCAAGAGCAGGCCTAGGGTATCAAAACCCTGACAACATAAAAAAGGTTGATTGCAACCAATTTTATGACATCAGGTACATTAATAAAAAGAATAAAAAGAAGGGAAAATGGAAACTAATAATCCAACATTTTAGCGGTCTTCTTTCAATAATCCCACCTTTTGATTATTCATGAATAATCCAACCTTTGCACCTCATCTTCATTCACTGGTCCCTGACCGGTTGATGACCTGCTATTCCAAGCTATTTTCTTATCTTTGCAAATCATTATACCATAAATCTCATCTTTCACAAAGATAATATTTTGGAAAGATAAGAAAATAACTTGGAATAGTAGGTCATTAACCGACCAGGGACCAATGAATGAAGATGAGGTGCAAAGGTTGGATTATTCATGAATAATCAAAAGGTGAGATTATTGAAAGAAGACCGCTAAAAGGTTGGATTATTAGTTTCCATTTTCCCTAAAAAGAATAAAAAGAAAAATCATTTTAATAAGAAAAGGGACTTATTTTCTTCTCCACCTCCCCATACAAGTTTTTTTTTCTAAACACCATTCAGGAAGGATGACCTGGATTCCAAAGAATGCTTGAGCAACCCAATAAGATTTCTAAAATCTTTAATTTTGTTGAAAAGTCTTGTAATAGTTTTAGACATTGTTTTCATTATAGTTCTTT